ACTGGTGCCTTAGCCGCTTGAGCCACAGGTACGGAGCCAACTCTATGTAAGTTTTTATTTTTTTATTTTTTTAAATTTTTTTATTTTTACTTCACACAAGCTCAAGTAATCACACATTTTTTTCTTTTTTACAGAGAGTCTTGCTCTGTCACCCAGGCTAGAGAGTGTCATAGCCTCTGTCTAGCTCACAAACAACCTCAAACTCCTAGGCTCAAGCAATCCTCCTGCCTCAGCCTCCCCAGTAGCTAAGACCACAGGCACCCACCATAATGCCCAGCTAATTTTTTGTTTTTAGTAGAGATGAGTTCTTGCTTTGCTCAAGCTGGTCTTGAACTCCTGACCTCAAATGATCCTCCTGGCCTGGCTTCCCAGAATACTAGGATTACAGGAGTGAGTCACTTTGCCTGGCCCAGGGATGACACGACTTTAATAATAAATTCTATATTCACAACATATTGTCTGATCATGCATTTTCTCCTCCCTTTTAATAATGATATTAGAGCCAGGGAGCAGTGGCTCAGCCCTGTAATCTCAGCACTCTGGGAGGCCAAGGCTGGTGGATCACCTGAGCTCAGGAGTTCAAGACCAGCCTGAGCAAGAGTGAGACCCCTATCTCTAAAGAATGGTTGGGTGTTGTGGCACATGCCTGTAGTCCCAGCTTCCTGAGAGGATAAGGGAAGAGGATCACTTGAGCCTAAGAGTTTCTGAGCTATGATGTCAAGGCACTCTACCCAGGGCAACAAAGTAAGATTCTGTCTAAAAAGAAAAAAGTGGCATTAGAGTGGCCCACCTGCAGAATTCTAGTATCTTCTCATTCCTCATGATTCTCTTTTTCACTGATCAGAAAAATTGCTCATAGGCAATGCTCCCACAATTCACCTGAAATTTTCCCAAATAGCTCGGATATTTTTCATTCAAGCAAAATTCTTAAACTAGCTGAGGCAGTAGGACCACCAAAAAGCTTTCTGTCCTTTGTGCCTTTGTGTTAGTATCAGCTTGGGCTGATGTAACAAAATACTACAGACTGGGGACCTAACAGAAATTTTTTTCCTCACAGTCTTAAAGGGTAAAGTCAGCAATCGAGGTGCCAGCAGGGCTGGTGTCTGCTGAGGCCTTTCTCCTTGGGATATGGAAGGCTTTTAAAAAAAAAAAAATTACACAATGTTTTATTATTAAAATTAGAAAATCTCATTTGTTACATCATTGGAGGGCTATTTGTCTGTCCTTGCACAGAGAGCTGGCTGGTGTCTATTCCTCTTCTCATAAAGACACCAGCCCTATGGAATTAAGGCCCCACCCTTACGAGACCTCACTTAACTTTTAATATCTACTTAGAGGTCCTCAGACCAAATCCAGCCACATCAGGGTTGGTAAGGCTTCCAGGTGTGAATCTTGAGGGGGACACATTAAGTCAATAACAGCTTTAATTCCTCTGATTTTCTAAGTATGATATAACTTCAAAAAGAATAGTTTTATTGTTACTTAAAATATATACTAATACCTCAAGCAATGAACTTTTTTTCTTGCTTGCTTCAAATTTAACTTTTCAAATCCTTTTTGACATTTTCTACATTTTTCATAAATCTTGGCTCATTTGGGACTTTGCCCAGATACTGTTCTCATGGTATGTGTTAATTGAGTATTCTATTTGATTATGTGTTCTTCCTAACTCCAAAAGCAGTAGAGAATTTTTTTTTTTAAAGTTTATAGAGCTGGCCAGGTGCAGTCACTAAGACCTGTAATCCCAGCTGTTTGGGAGGCTAAGGCAGGAGGATCACTTGAGGCCAGGAGTTCAAGACCAGCCTGGGCAATATGGATACTTCGTATCTACCAAAAAGAGGAAGAAAAGAAGAAGGGGAGAAGGGAGGAAAGGGACGGGAAAGAAGAAGAAAGAGTATATATCTTTAAAAACCTAAGGCATCAAGGTTTGAAAATACAATCAGATGAGCTTTTTCCCACTTCTAAAGTCCTATAAAAGTACTTGGAATTTCAAAAGGTGCAGAGAACCTCTTCTGATGCCACAGCCTGAATGAGCAGTAAGCCTGCCTTCCCGCTAACACTGTCTCCTCCATCTCCCTTAGAGGGTCTACCATCCACAACATTTCCCCACCAGCTGCCTCATTGCATCCTTTTGTTCAAAGATTTTTTTTTTTTACAAAATAATACAACTGCTGAGGGGAAAAATAATTGGCAGGGATGTATGCTATACTATAAAGTGTTTTTTTTTTACCATTTATAAATTCCTGTAATACTTAAATTCAAATGAACGTATCTTTACAAAAGAAAAAAATCTGATTTTTCTAATAAAAAGGAAACTAGTGATGAATTGTCTTGTTGAAAGAAAAATTCTCTCCTTGGTGGTCTAGTGGTTGGGATTAAAATAATTTAAAAAGAAGAAAAAAGAAAAAGAAAATAATTCAGGATCCAGGTACAGTGCTCACACCTGGAATCCTCACACTCTGGGAGGCTGAGGCAGGCAGACTGCTTGAGCTCACAAGTTCAAGACCAGCCTGAGCCAAGAGCAAGACCCTGTCTGTAAAAAAATACCCAGGTGTGTGGCAGACAACTGTAGTTCCAGCTACTTAGGAGGCTGAAGCAAGAAGATCATTTGAGCCCAAGAGTTTGAAACTGCTGTGAGCTATATGACTCTAAAGCACTCTACCCAGGGCACAGAGTAAGACTCTGTCTCAAAAAAAAAAAAAAAAAAGGAAGGCAGGCAATTCTCTATGGTTATCTTTATCTTAATAACTTATTGTATAGCTATTCATATGTCCACTTCCATTAAAGTGAGGCAAAATATCCCAATTTCCATTTTTACATATTTTCCATTTGTATTTGATTACTTACTTAGCAAACCAACATTTTGCACTTTCTTTTTCTACTAAGTGAAAACTTTACTCCAATTTATCAGAGAAAGAAAACGCATTTGTAATGCAAAGTAGGCCATCTGGGATGGAAATCTAAATGGGAAAATTTGAGGGGGGAACTCTGCTTAAAATAGTACTGCTAGGGTGGCGCCTGTTGCTTAAAGGAGTAGGACACCAGTCCCATATGCCAGAGGTGGCGGGTTCAAACCTAGCCCTGGCCAAAAAAAATCCTACAAAAATAAAGGATAAATGGAAGGAAACCATAGCAACATATATTTTTAAAAAAAAAATAGTACTGCTTAATTTTATAGAGAAAGAGTAACTTAGTACCAGGATGCAGTGAATATAAGGAACAGGAAGATACCACACAAAGAACCAATTTTAAAATGATCTGTTCATTTTTAATTTCTTAAAAAGCATGTTCACAGCACACTCTAAGAATGCCACACAGCAACGGTTTGCTGCTATTTGTCAGACAAATAAAAAAAGTTTTAAATGGTTAATGGTTTTAAAAATTAGGGTTCTCTGAAACTTCTGTAAAGCCAATAATCACCAGTCATTTAAATCTTTATTTCAGAGTAGTAAACATTTCAAAAATGTAGTATCTACCCCAAATCACACTTCTCTGAAATGTAATTTAAAAGCTATACAACAAAAACAAAATAAATATTCTTCTAGAAAGAAAATATTTGGCATTTTAAAATAATGTTAAAAGAGAAAGTTTCTAATGGAAAAAGTATCTAGATTTTTACTTTTTATTATCAGAGAGAAGATTTGGATCTTTAGTGGTTCCAATCTGCCTTGATTAATAGCAGGAATGATTACACTGTGGTTAATGAACTTCAATCCTAACAGGGCCAATACGCTTTTTCAGTTCAAGGCTTACTTTTTAAAAGTATTAAAACCTATTAATGAGCCAAAACAGCTCAGATTAGTTAATTTGGTACATAAGTGCTTTTATACATACTTTGCTTACTTAATATTTCTAATTAACTTGTTATATTTCCCTCAAAAAAAATCAATAAATATATGGTTTTAGTGATGTGTCAACTGAATTTTGTTTCTTTAACTTCATTAAATATGTCAAACGTGGTTAAGGCTGATATTCTGTCCTTCCATATAATTTATATTTTCATTATGAATGTCGAACAGTCACATTATGAGTTATATCCTGATCATTTTACCTAAGTGTGGAGAAATTAAAAGTTAAATTAAAATATTTAGATAGTTCTTATATATTCGTCTCTTTCAGAACCCATGATCCCTTTTCTTAAATATTGAGTATGACAAAAGTGGAATTTAGTTCATTTTCTTAAAACGAAATGTACCAAAAGAAAGTACATTGCTTAAGACTATTTCTGTCAAACATTCTGAAACCAAATTTTCATTTCTAACACCCATCAAAGAGAATAAATTTTCCTTTAGCGTCATGGCCACAGTCTGAAAAAAGAATTGATAAGGGCTAATTTAAGCCAATAAAATATCTAGGTAAAGACATAACACAAAATAGGGAGGTGAGTAAAGCCAGCATGTTGTTATAAAATCCTCCCTTGTAAACACATCTGTGCTCTCTTCCCACACTTCCCACATTTGGAAATGTTACCTAAGTTTTAAAAATTCTCATCAAAATATTTTATACCATGAGTCATGTAAAATTAGGTCTATTTCAGCCAGATAACGTACAGCTGTTAAAGAATTATATTATTCTGTTCATAAGATGAGAGGTAGTGACATTTTATTCTCTCAATGCTGAGCTAAGAATTCCACACATCTGGCACATGGGTTGAAAGGGGAAAAGAAGCACAGAAGCACCATTGGACACGCCTCATGTTTTGGTATTTCAAGTCACCCATCACTTCATTTACTACTGGCAGCTGACAATCACTGTGTGTGAACGATGGGTGTTGGTGCTAGTCTTCAGAGAGCACCGGTGGGCCTCCGTCATCTTTCAGAAATGAAGCCGCTTTCCTTCCATTCTTCTGAACATGATCTTCATTCATTTTCTCCAAAGCTTCTATCTACAAAATTCATACATTTGTCAAAATCCTACTTGAAAGAAACCATACTTTAGATTGAGTCAGTAATTTTTACTCTCTTAAAACTAGGTTATTCCAAATAACGCTGGCCATGAATCGGAATTACCGAGTGTGTGCGCACAAATATTCAAATATACATGGACATGTATGTCTTTGACTTGATTATGTTACTGAGGTCATTATTTAGTATTTTTTATTAAGCTAATAATTGGAATCACATATGTCTTACTATGTACTTCATAAAGCTTTATGGGAATAAGAAAAAGGAAATTCTGATATTCACTCAACAACAGTAACACCTACTTATTGAGCAACTATACTATATTAGATGCTGAGTTTACCATCCTTCTGGCCTTAGGCTCTAGCATAGCTTAACCAAGTTCAAGTCCTACCAGGGAGTTCTGGAACAGACTCAATAATTATTCTCTGCTTTGGCATTAATGTTGGGAACAATTAACTGCTGTTCCACTTTTTAGGTTTTATTCAATTTTAAGGAACTTCTCTAAAGGGAGGTTTTTTTTTTAATGGTTCTACAGATCTGATATCATAATGATTAGTTATTTCTAAGAAAGCTACTTCTAAAATCTCTATATTCCATGAAGGGCAGGAACCATGTGTTACTAGTTTTTTGTACCACCCAGAGTGTTTGTCAGTCAATATCCTTATTTAAGAAACTAAGGAAAATAGGACAACACTGGCAAAATGGTATTTAATCTTAACCAAACTGTCAAATCCTTTAAAAAGTGTTTTGCTATATGTTTATTTTAAGTTTTAAGCCTAGAAAAGACCAAAAACATCTCAAGAAAAGAAAAATCTCAGATTGATTTTGTTTTAGGGGAAGAGAATAAAATTAGCTTTGGGTTCAGTTATCTCCTCTATCTAGTTCTCCATCACTAGCAGGGTGAAAACCAGGTATATGTTACTTACCTCAGCTAAAAAATCAGCTTCATTATCTGCTGAGATATGTAGGCCAGAAACAGCATTGAAGAGCTCTCGTTCATTAAGGGCTTCCTTAACTCCCCCTTTCTGGAAAAACTAGTAAACAAAGTCAATAAGATGTATTAGCAAGGTCCTCTTATACATTAAAAACAGGGACCAACATACTTGTAAGACGCCACTGAACTCTTTCCCTCATTTTTCAACCATGATTTTCCCACTTCAAGTTTAACTATGCTCAGGTTCTACTTGCTGTTCAGCATCTGACACATGTGTTCTGCCTTCTGGATTTAGATGGTCACACTGCACCCTTCTGTAGCTATAAAAATGACTGGCATATATAAAACTGCTTGGCATTGCTTTGAAGGTATAGATGCAATACTTCCATTAAATCCCACAAATTAAAGTTTTCAAACAGGCTCAGGGGTGATTTCTTATATGATGTTACTGATCTTTCTATTTTTTAGAAAGATCATTTCTATTTGAATCTACTGCTAACAACTCATTACCCTGAGAAATAGCAAACAAATATAAGCCAGCTCTGTGCTTACTTTCACCTCCCTAAATCTTTTTACGCTCTTCATAGTGACGGTGGTCAGACACTGCTCCTTTTAAAGGTAATCATAATGGTGATAAGCACACTGGTTTACTTTTTTTTTTTTTTTTTTTTTGAGACAGAGTCTCAAGCTGTCACCCTGGGTGGAGTACCATGGCATCACAGCTCACAGCAACCTCCAACTTCTGGGCTTAAGTGATTCTCTTGCCTCCGCCTTCCAAGTAGCTGGGACTACAAATGCCCACCACAATGCCCAGCTATTTTTTGGTTGCAGACCTGGGCTGGGCTCGAACCCACCACCCTAGGCGCCCTTGCCGACTAAGTTATGGGTGCTGCCCTACACAGGTTTACTTTGTAAGCCAGCTTGTTCAAGCACTGTGCACACAGTAATTGTCTACTTGACTGCTTAAATACTCAAAACACACATTTACCCAAATGTGAAACAGGCAGTCAAATTCTTGCTGAAAATGAAATCTGACAAATTGATCTTTACATCCTTATCTTGAAAGCAGTATCCCTTCCTTCAACTCCTAAGAATATGGTCCTCTTAGTTATCAAAGAAGTGAAAAAAATATTTGGACCTGCTATATCCTACAAAAAGACATACCCTTCACATGCCTACCTGTGAGACATTCCTACAGTCACGGAACAAAAACTCTAGGCCGTGGGGATGGGTTGGTTCTACAGACTGACTGACGTCAATCAACCAGACCTGTTTAAATATAGAACATTCAGCAATGTGTTTACATTAGGTAATTGACATCAAGTAATCAAATCTGAATTTAACAAAATGAGCTCCTCACCTTTCCAGCATGCCACAGCATGTTGTACTCGCTGAGGTCGGCATGGACAAGTGTACATTCATTATATAACTGCTGCATCAACTATAAGGAAGGAAGGCAAACATTTAGAAAATGAAGTAAACAGCTGGGTACCGCGGCTCATGCCTGTAATCCTAGCATTCTGAGAGGCCGAGGCAGGTGGATTGTCTGAGCTCACAAGACCAGCCTGAGCAAGAGCAAGACCCTGTCTCTAAAAAATTGCCAACTGTTGTGGTGGGCGCCTGTACTCCCAACTACTTGGGAGGCTAAGGCAAGAGGATCGCTTGAGCCCAGGAGTTTGAGGTTGCTGTGAGCTATGATGCCAGGGCATTCTATCCAGAGCAACAAAGTGAGATAGTCTCAAAAAAAAAAAAGAAACTGAAATAATTCTATTCATCCGTGTAATTAAAATGTGTCATCAACCAATATTATCTAGAACAAAAGCAAAGTTAAAGAACTTACTTCCTCTTTGTACCATCTAGGACTGGGCTTTTTGTTTGGTTGGTTGTTTAGGTAGTATGGCAGAACAGTGAGACATGGAAGGGATCACTGTGTGACACTCTTTCTCTGCCCTTGTTACTGAAAACTCAGGAGGCCAAGTATCAGACCTGGACTCCCACACCAGTTAGCAGCTGTGACTACTGCCACTAACCAGGGGACCAAGGCAGGCCACTTCCCTTCCTAAAAGAGCAAATGTCCCATAGCGACCAATCTGGGGTATATACAATTCCAGGATGAAAAGTACTTCCTGCCAGCAATGGCAGGAAAGAGACATTTTTGATTTCTATTCCTTTTTTAGACACAGGGTATAGTTGTGTCATGCTGGCTAGAGTGCAGTGGCCCAATCATAGCTCACTACAGTCTCAAACTCCTGGGCTCAAGTGATCCTCCTGCTTCAGCCTCCCAAGTAGCCAGGACCTCAGATGTATACTACCACATCTGGCTAGGGAAAGAGATATTGTTGTAAATTAAGTGGCATTATATATTTATTCTTGAGTGTTAACAGTAGAAATCTACATTAATGCAT